TGCCCAAGGAGGACAGAAGAGGCTGTCGGATCCCCTGGAACTGGAGTTATGGACAGTTGTTAGCTGCCATGTGGGTGCTGGGATTCGAACCCGGGTCTTCTGCAAGAACAATCAGTGTTCTTAACCACTGAGCCATCTCTCCAGCCCCGATTTATTTATTTTTATTTTATGTGTATGAGTGTTATGCCTACATGTATGTAAGTGCACCTGTGTCATGCAGTGCCCAAGGAGGACAGAAGAGGTAGGATCCCTTGGAACTGGAGTTATGGAAAGTTATTAGCTACCATGTGGGAGCTGGGATTCGAACCCCAGTCTTCTGCAAGAGTGGACAGTGCTCTCAGCTCCTGAGCCATCTCTCCAGCCCTCTGAACTAGGCAACTCTTAAGAAGCTGATGAATTTTTTAAAAAATATTTTATTATTTTTATTTTATATGCATGCGTGTATTACCTGCATGGGTGTAAGTGCACCCATGTCATGCAGTGCCCTCAGAGGTCAGAAAAGAGCATTAGCTCCCTTGGAACTAGAGCTAGGAATGGCTGAATAGAACCCTGGTCCTCTGCAAGAACAGTCAGTGCTCTTTAACCACTGAGCCATCTCTCCAGCCCAGGAGTTAGTATATTACAAGAATATGTCAGTGGACCCATTCTCTCTCCTCCCACAGATGTGCGGTGATCACAGAGTTTGCTAGAATTCAGCTTGAAGCCAAGGGAATTCAGAGTGAGTTGATGCTGTTGCCTCTGGTGGGGGTGGGAAGAAGATACTTAAAGCTGACTTCCTGTTTCACCTACCCCTCTCCTTAAACTCCTGAAGGCCCTAGCATGACTCTTCAGGATTTTGAAGGTTATGGTGAGGTTTCTTAAAAGGAGACATTTTGATATCCCCTGATTTTTGATTGCATGATTGCAGTCAAGGTGCCAGGTGAGAAGAACTTGCAAAAAGTGGTTGTGAACTTGATGGAGCAAGAGGAGGAGAATGTTGAAGTGAAAGAAGATGCAAATCTGGCCCCAGGAGACCAACCTCAAACAGCTGCTGTGGGTGAGATCTGTGAGGTAGGGCCTAAGTGGAGGAGGTGGCAACTTGGGAATCCAATCAATGATAGGAAGGGGCTATGGAGCTATAGAGAGTGGTTGTGAGAAATACATCAGAGAGGGCCGGGAAGGTGGAGGTAGAGACCTGAGTTTCAGCCAACAAGATGGTTCAATGCGAAGAAGCTTGCCACCCAAACCTGAAGACCTGAACTCAAGTCCTAGAAACCATGGTAGAAGGAGAGAAATGACTCCTCCTGAAAGTTGTCCTCTGTCCTTCACACTTATACAGGCACTCATCTATACACACATGCCCATATGCATACAAACACACATACAGTAATAGTAAAATTAAAAAGAGATACAGGGCCAGAGAGATAGTTCAGTGATTAAGGGCATTTGCTGCTCTTGCAGAAGACCTGGGTTTGATTCCCAACACTCACATGGAGGCTCACAACCATCTATAACTCCTGTTCTTTCCTCCACAGACACCAGGCACCCATGTGATGCACTTATATACATGTAGGCAAAACACTCATACACATAAAATATTTTTAATTATTGGGGTATGTGCACATGAGGGTGTGGATCTACTCAAGCTGCAGCTACAGGTGTTTGTGAGCCACCCAATGTGGGTGCTAGGAACCAAGTTCACTGCAAGAGCAGTATGTGCTCTTAATCACTGAGTCATCTCTTCAGCCCCCAAATAAATAAACCTTTGAAGAAAGAAATAGACATGTCTTTGCTTACTCTAATAGGAAGGTCTACGGGTGCTGGAAGGCCTGGCAGCTTCGGGCCTACGCTCCATCCGATTTGCTTTAGAAGTACCTGGACTCCGATCTGTGGTTGCCAATGATGCCTCTGCCCAGGCTGTAGAGCTCATACGCCATAATGTGCTACTCAATGATGTGGCCCATATCGTTCAGCCCAGCCAGGCAGATGCCCGGTAGGTTGGTTGTTGTTGCTGTCATTGGTGGTGGTACTTGGGATGGAACTCCAGGCCTCATACACGCTAAGCAAGTGCTGTGCCACTTGCTATACCCCCAGCTCCCAGTAGGTTCTGGGCAGAAATGCCCAGGGCCTGCAGGTTACACCCTGGAGTCTGGCTACCTAGGGGTAAACCCTAGCCCTGTTGTAGTTTCTAAGTATTTGAACACTAATTTCCCCTTGTCTGTCAAAAGGATAGTAACGGGTTGCAGGATTTGTTTTTCTTTTTTTCTAATTTTTATTTTATTATTTGTATGTGTAAGTCTGAGGACAACTTTCTTTTCTTTTTTGGTCTTTTTGAGACAGGGTCTTCCTGTAGTCCCAGCTGGCCTGGAACTCACTATGTAAACCCGGCTGGCCTTGAATCCACAGAGAGCCATCTGCCTCTGCTGGGATTAAAGGTGTGGGCTACCACGCCCAGCCTCCAAGGACAACATTCAAAAGTCATTTTTCTCCTTTTACCTTGGGTTTTAGGTATGGAACTGGTCTTTAGACTGACACTGCAAGTGTTTTCTTACCTATGGAGCCATCTCCCCTAGCAGCCTTTTCATTTTGAGACAGTATCACTTTGACCTAACGGTGGCCCATATATGAGTAGTTTTGTAACTGAAGATGACCTTGAATTTTTTTTCTTATTTCTTTTCCATTTTTTGTTACTTGTTTTTGAGATAGGGTCTTACTGTGTAGCCCTGGCCAGCCTATATAGACCACACTGGCCTGGAGCTCTCAGAGATTTGCCTGCCTTTCCTTTCTGAGTGCTGAAATTAAAGGCTTACACCACCCCAACCAGCCCTTTTTTTTTCTCCCTCCCCTTTCGATCATTTTTGTCTTTTTTTTTTTTTTTTTTTTTTTTGGTCTTTTTGAGACAGGGTCTCCCTGTAGCCCCAGCTGTCCTGGAGCTCACTATGTAGACCAGGCTGGCCTTGAACTCCCAGAGATCCGCCTGCCTCTGCCTCCCCAAGTGCTGGGATTAAAGGTGTGCGCCACGACACCTGGCTATTTTTTTGTCTTAAAAAAAAAAAATTTTTTTTTTGAGTTTTTGTGTATTTCATATAGAAAATTATCTTTATACCCCTTTCCCCTTTGGCGCCCTCCCATAGCCCCCACAGTGGAGTTCATACCTTCTGTCATTTGTGTTAAGGCCTATCATGTAAAGTTAGTCACCCCAGATGTCCCTCAGTGCAAATTCATCCACTGGAATCTAGTCTATCTATCTAAAGTCCTTCCCTTTAAGATCAGCTCATTCTCACCCAGCAATAATCAGCTGCCAAAAATTCTTTGACTAAGATTGGACCTGCTGTTCATTTCCACGGTTCTGTGTTGGGTTTTGTCTGCTTAAGTTTGCATCAGTCTTATGTATACTGACACCATTGCTGTAAGTTCTTTTTTTTTTTTTTTACATTTTATTTGTGTATGTGTGGAGGTCAGAAGATATGACTCATAGGAATTGTTTCTCTCCTTCCACCAAGTGGATCCCAGGGATCAAACTCAGGTCCTCAGACTTGCTGGCAAGCACCTCTACATACTGAGCTGTCTAGCCAACCTTAATCTTGAATTTCTGATCCTTGTTCCCTTACTACGCCTAGTTTATTCAGTAATGATCAGATGGAACCTAGGGCTTTGTGCATGCTAGGTAAGCACTCGGCCAACTGAACTACATCCCCAGCACACACAACCCTCTCCCTTTTTTTTTTTCTGCCCTTGTAAGACAGGGTCTCACTATGACTGGCCTGGAACTCTGACTCATAGAGACCTGCCTGCCTCTACTGGGGTTAAAGGTGTATGCCACCATTCCCAGCTGATGCTATTTATTTGAACAGTGACATAATTTAGGATTTGAGTGTTCGATTAAAATAAAATTCTCATTGCATGTATTTATGGGGTGGGGAGATGCACCTGCCACAGCACCATGCAGAAAGCAACTTGATGGAGCCAGTTCGCCTTCTACTTTTATTCAAGTTCTGGAAATTGAATTCAGGTCACCAGGATTGTGTGGCAAGTGCCTTTACCTGCTGTGCTGGATAGCTTTAGTGTCAACTTGATACACCTGGGTTGAGGGAGCCTTAGTTGGGGGAATTGCCTCTATTGGACTGGCCTGTGGCCATGTTTGAGGGGATCTTCTTGATGAGTGATGTGGGAGGGCCCAGCCCACTGTGGGTGGTGCCACCCCTGGGCAGGTGGGCCTGTGTTGCATAAGAAAGCAGGCTGAGCAGGGGCCAGGGGAGCAAGCCAGTAAGCAGCGTTCCTCCGTAGCCTGTGCTCCAGCTCCTGCCCTGAGTTCCTACCTTGGTCTCTAATGAACTATAACCCAGGAGATGTAAGCTGCATAAACCCTTTCCTCCCCAGGTTGGTAGTGGTCAGAGTGTTTTGTCACAGCAGTGAAGAACAAACTAGGACATCTGCTGAGCCATCTCACCCCCCCCTTCCACCTTTCTATTTTTAAATAAAAAAATTTTTTTTGGTCTTTTTGAGACAGGGTCTCCCTGTAGCCCCAGCTGTCCTGGAACTCACTATGTAGACCAGGCTGGCCTTGAACTCACAGAGATCCGCCTGCCTCTGCCTCCTGAGTGCTGGGATTAAAGGCATGTACCACCACACCTGGCTATATTTTTAAACATTTTTATTTCTTTGTATGTGTCTGAGTGGGTATATGTGTGTGCAGGTGCCCACAAAGCCTGGAAGAGGGCATCATATTCTTTGGAAGGCAATTATGAGCCCCCAACATGGGTGCTAGGAACTGGAAGTGCAGCAACTGCTCTTAAAAGACAGAGCCATCTCTCCAGTCCCCTCCCCCATACCTCCTTTTGTTTTAGGTGGGGTCTTACTATACAGCCTAGATCGGTCTCATTTTTGACAGTCCTTAGCCTCAGCCTCCTGGCTGCTGGGGTTGTAAGTCATGTTCCATAGGATGTGTGAGCCCTGAGGGGAGTGAGTAGGGGACAGCTAATGACTCCAGGTTGCCTTTACAATACAGATACGTACCACAGTGCCAGGTTTAGTGATGACTTTTGTCATGAGAACATTGTGGAATACACATAACACAAATGAAGATAGCTATAATAGCATGTGAGAGAATCGAGTTGTTGATTGGATTGGTTTAGGGGATGAGGTCTTGCGTTGTTATCCAGATTGGCCTTCAGCTTAGGATCTTCCATTTTGGCTAGGATTAACAGGTGTGTGACACTAAATTTGGTTCTAGTCAATAGAATTTCTTGCTGCTATTTTTTGTTTGTTTGGTTGGTTTTGTTTTTTGAAGCAGGGTCTTGCTGTGTAGCCTAAGCTGATCTCATTGGAGATTCTCCTGCCTTAGCCTCCCACTTGCTGAGGTGACAAGTTGAAAACCTCATACTCAGCAGGTGATACAATCTTGGGAGCCTACAGCTGTCATCTGAAACATCATTATGTGACACATGATTGTGTCATCATGGACACTTAAATATTTTATTAACTCATTTATCTCCTCTTCCCCATTCCCTCTCTACTCAGGGTAGAACCTGGGCCTACTGTATGCCAGGACATGCCATCACTGAATTGGGCCTCTAGCCTTCCTGCTACCTTTCTTACTTTGACACGGATCTTACAGGTCTCACTCAGTTTCCCAGGCAGGCCTTGAATTTGCAGTCCTGCCTCAGCCTCACAGTTAGCTGGAAATACAGGTCTGTACTTTCAGGCCTGGTTTAAACTTAATTTCTTATTCTCTTTGTTATTTTTTACATTTATTTAGTGGGAGAGGGGTCATGTATTCTACAGCATGCATGTGGGGGTTAGAGGCAATTAACACAGAGAGCCACAACTGATCAATGTGCAGAGAATGAGACTTGGAATAGAGCTGGACACAGTGGTGCATGCTTTTAGTCTGAGCATTCAGGAGGCAGAGGCAGGCAGATCTCTGAGTTCAAGGCAAGTCTGATCTACATAGCAAATTCTAGACCAGCTGTGGCTACAGGGAGACCCTGTCTAAAAAGATCAGAAAAAAAAGAGACTGGAATAGGGCTGGAGAAATGGCTCAGTGGTTAATAGCACTGGCTGCTCTTGGAGAGGACCCAGATTTGGTTCCCAGCACCCATGTGGCCACTAACAGTCATCCATAACTCCAATTCCAGGGGATCCAACACCCTCTTCTGACATCTGGGTATTACATGACACAGGTGCACTTTCCTACATGCAAGCAAAACACTCATACACATAAAATAAAATTTTACTATGTAGACCAGGCTGGCCTCAGGCTCACAGTGTGCCTCCTGAATGCTGGGATTTTTTTTTTTTAAGGTTGAATTTTTTGTTTTAATTTTATATGTTTGTGTGTATTACCTGTGTGTAGTAGGTAAGTGCACCCGTGTCATGCAGTACCCACAGAGGACAGAAGAGGCTGTCTGATCCCCTGACACTGGAGTTCCTGACAGTTGTTAGCTGTCATGTGGGTGCTGAGATTTGAATCCCGGTCTTGGACAAGAAAAGTCTATGTTCTTAATCGCTGAGCCATCTCTCCAGCCCCATTTTCTTTTTAAATTATACATGTGTGTGCTCATGTAAGCATCATGCCTAAAGAGGCCAGGTCCAGTCCACTGGACCTGGAGCCATCAGACTGACATGAGTGCTGGAAACCAAACTTGGGTCCTATAGAAGAGCAGTACAGGCTGTCAACCACTAAGCTGTCTGTAGTGCCTCAGTTTGGTTTTTATGGTTACAGAGAGCCAAAGAATGCCCTGTTCTCTTAGCATTGCCAAGGTTATAGATGGGGAGACTGAGGCCTGTGTAAGCAGAAAAAAATCTTTTGGCTAACAAACGGCTAGAATGGCTGGGGGTTCAGTGGTAGTACACCTAAGTAGTCCTAACTCCATCCCCAGGGCTACAGGAAAAAAATTCAAGAAAAACCAAATGGTTGGTTAAGCTGGCCCCAATGCCAAAATCACTTCACCATAAGAATTAATGTGCTGGGTCCGTGCAGGTGCTTTTATTTAAGAGGCTGAGGATTTGACCCTCTCACACCTAGGATGCTGATGTACCAACATCAAAAGGCGTCTGAGCGCTTTGACGTTATTGACCTGGACCCCTATGGCAGTCCCGCCACCTTTCTGGATGCAGCAGTTCAGGCTGTCAGTGATGGAGGTGAGGCTGAGCCCATACCATCTGGGGACCCAAGCAGGTATGGGATCAGGGTATGTAGAGAGTCATTGCTGCCCCTCCCCACAGGACTTCTTTGTGTCACCTGCACGGACATGGCAGTGCTGGCAGGGAACAACGGAGAGACATGCTACAGCAAGTATGGGGCCATGGCCCTCAAGAGCCGGGCCTGCCACGAGATGGTGAGGCTCCACCCAACTTGGTCCACGGTTGGGAAATAGGCCGTGAGCTCCCCTACCCTGACCCTCCCAGTGCCCCTTCCCATTTGAGGACCTGCTTAGCATCTTCAGGCTACCAGACTGGACCATCCCAGACTGTGACTGACAAGCAGCCAGAAGTGGGTGGGCAGTCACATCGTTTTTAATATTCTATAAAGTAATGTTCTTAAAAAGAAGTTTTTATCGGGGCATGGTGGCACACTCCTTTAATCCCAGCACTTGGGAGGCAGAGGCATGCAGATCTCTCTGAGTTCCAGGTCAGCCTGGTCTTCATAGTGAATCCAGGACACTGGGGCTACAAGGAGACCCTGTTTCGAAAAGACACAAAAAAAAAAGAAATTTTTAACATTTTGTTGTGTGTGTGTGAGGAAATCAGTTTTTTCTACCATGTGGGACGCATGCTGGGATTAAAGTTGTGTGTTACTACACTTAGCCCAACAAAAAGTCTTTCTTTGTGATTTTTTGAGTTCTGGCCTTACTTCTGTGTGTAGAACAGGGGTGATCATGGCACCCGCCTTGTTGGGCTGCTTTGAGAATTTAAAATTAGGAGGGGCCAAGAAAGGCCACACCCTACCCTTATTCTTTAAGGTCCTTGCTGTCATCTGGTAAGCCAGGGCAGTGTCACTACCTTTTTCACATCAGAGGCTCTGAGCAGTCCCTAGTATCATGCAGTGTCCCCACTCCCAACCCACAGATCCCTGTGGCCTGTCCTTGCCTCACCCTCTACTTGGAAGGGCACACTTGGAGTGCTCATGGCACGAATTTAGTCACCTGTATAGCCTTCATCCATTTAGTGCCTCCTGAACAGATGGGGAAACTGAGGAACAGAGGTGACACTGGCTTTGTGCTCTGTGTGGGGTCTTGGAAAGAATATTGATGCCCACCCCGTCCACCAGGCCCTGAGGATTGTGCTGCACAGCCTGGACCTGCGAGCCAACTGCTACCAGCGCTTTGTGGTGCCTCTGCTCAGTATCAGTGCTGATTTCTATGTGAGAGTCTTCGTGCGAGTCTTTGTAGGCCAGGCCAAAGTCAAGGCCTCAGCCAGGTCAGCCCAGGGAAGGGGCACCAGATGGATTGAGGGAGGAGATAAATCTCACCCTGGGTGACGGTGGTTCCCAGTCAGAGGGAAATGGTGGGGTATAGTGACCACACCAGGAACTCATGGCCACCCTTGAATCCCTCAGCAAGCAAGCGTTGGTGTTCCAGTGTGTGGGCTGTGGTGCCTTCTATCTACAGCGTCTTGGCAAAGCTTCAGGAGACCCCAGTGGCAGGTAAGCAAGGGTATTGGGGTGGAAGGAGGGAATCCCAGGGTTCCCCCTCTTCTCATTGCCACTCCTTGCAGGGTCAAGTTCTCTGCAGCCTGTGGTCCTCCAGTGGCCCCTGAGTGTGAGCACTGTGGGCAGCGATACCAGGTAGGTCCAGGCAGGGAGGCAGAAGGTCTAGGGGTCCCGGAAGTCATGCACTTAAGGCCCTTGCTGTCTGTTCCCTGGTGTCAATAGCTTGGCGGCCCCATGTGGGCAGAGCCCATCCATGACCTGGACTTTGTGAACCGGGTCCTGGAGGCAGTGAGCACTAACCCCAGTCGTTTCCACACTTCTGAGCGGATCCAGGGGGTCCTGAGTGTTGTCACTGAGGTAGGCGCTAGACCCACACAGGGAGGGGGGTCCCCACCTCCTTTCCATCAGCACCCCATGCCACCCTATCCCCTTCACAGGAACTTCCTGATGTCCCTCTCTACTACACGCTGGACCAACTGAGCAGCACCATCCACTGCAACACACCCCGCCTCCTGCAGCTTCGGTGAGGGCCCTGGAGGGGCTGCTTAGGTAGATCTGGGAGGCCACGAATTCTGTAGTTGGTTTTGATAGCATAGTGACATACCCTTGTTATGAGAGACCCATCCCAATCCATACAATGTGGCTCACGCCCACCTTGGGTCAGCCTATGGGTTTCCAGCTTCCCTTCATGGTCCCTATTTTCCCAGGTCAGCCCTCCTCCATGCTGGCTTTCGGGTCTCACTCTCCCACGCCTGTAAGAATGCAGTGAAGACAGATGCTCCCCCTCTGGCTCTCTGGGATATCATGCGTTGCTGGGTGAGGGCAAGTGTCCACCTGGGTGGGGGCAGGAGAGTGGTTGATGGAGGCCCTCTCAGGCTCAGCACCCCCCTCCCCCCCAACTCCTGTTCCCAGGAGAAGGAGTGTCCAGTGAAACGGGAGCGGCTGTCGAAGAGCAGCCCAGCATTCCACATTCTCACCGTGGAGCCCAGGTATGGATGGATATGTAGGAGGGGACAGGCTGCTTGTGGGCATACTAGGCCCATGGGCACACAAGACATGGGCCTACTATGAGATGTTCAAATGCAATGCCAAACAACCTTACCATCTCTGTCCTTGTCCATGCCCTTCCCTCCTGTCTCCATCTGCTCTCCACTGTAGCAGGGTACCTGGGAGTACCTGGGTGGGTCAGAAACAGAGCATGTCCCCTGAACATTCCATGGCTCCCTCTTTTCTCAGTAGCAGCCAGAAGTCCTATCTGCAGCCTGGCATACCTGTGCTGTGAGCCCCATCTCAGGCCCTTTACCCATGCTGTGTCCTCTCAACTCAGGAAGCCTTCCTTAACTGGACCATCCTGCCATATCCCTGTGTCCTTTACCAAAACAGTTCCCAAATGTATATCCTAACAGTATGGTTTTTGTGTGTGGTGGTGCTAGGGATGGAACCTAGAGCCTTCTGTGTGCCAGGCCTGCTCTTTCTCCTTGAGCCACATGCCAACCCTTGCTCATTTTTGATTTGTTTGTCTCCTACAAAGTCAGCTCTACCAGGGCAGGTCCAGGCCACTTTGCTGACTCTCTTCCCAGCCTGGAGAACAATGGCGACTCAACAGTAAAGTTAGATGTTTATTGAACAAATGAAAGACCTCTGAGCCGGGCAGATGTATGCTGCTCGGTGGGCAGTCTGTGCCCAATTGCATGGCCATTGCCCTTAGCCTCCACCCATTTGCCCAGGCTGAAGGCCAACTTTACTATCCGGGAAGATGCCAACCCCAGCTCCCGCCAACGAGGACTGAAACGCTTCCAGGCCAACCCAGAAGCCAACTGGGGTCCCAGGCCCCGTGCCAGGCCAGGGTAAGTGGTTATGTTGTGGAGGTAGGGCTGGGCTAGGTGGGGGTGAAGGCTAAATGGAGTCCCAGCTCCCTGTCTGCACAGGGGCAAGGTAGCAAGTGCAGGCCTGGAGGAGAGGCGAAGGCTGCTGCAGAATAAGCGGAAGGAACCGGCTGAGGACCTGACCAGGCGGACAGCTCGTCTCAAGTCGTTTCCTTGCAAACGATTCAAGGAAGTAAGTTGCCTCCCTCCTTCCAGCTTTCCTGCAGCAGAGCCAAGAAGTAGGCTGGCCTGGCATAGCTGGGGCTTGGGAATGAAAAAAGAATGCAGCTGGGGGCTCCTGTGCTTCTGCCTGAGCACAGCCTGGGCTTCACGCTCTCCATTCTCTTACCAGGGCACCTGCCAGCGAGGAGACCAGTGCTGCTACTCACATAGCCCTACTGAGACCGTGGTCTCCACAGATGTTCCTGTCACAGACCATCCATATAACCAAAACCAGAACTCCCCTGGGCCACGGGGTGCTGCAGAGCTGGGTGTAGACTGAGCCAATAAAGAGATGTCATTTTCTGCTGATTGTTGTTTGGAATGGGGAGGCTGTCAGCCTGAGGAGCTCCACCCATTATTCCAGCAGCTCTCTTGTGGCTGCTCCTCCACCTCTGCTTTAACTGGTGGTGTTTCCTACCAAGCTGCAGCTTTATGTTTGTAAGCTGCAGTTCAGCAGTCACTCTAGAGCTGCAGTTCCCCAGGTCACCACGGGGAGGTAGCCTGTGCCACCGGGTTTCTGCCCCTCATGCCAACGTTCACCTCCCCCCCTTCCCTTGCTGTGTCCTCCACTGTTTGGTTTCTTCAGCCCAGCTCTCTCTGGGTGGGCTCGTGGCGGAAGCCAGACCGGAACCAGGCTTTCTGTGCATCCGTTCCAGACCAGGTGCTTCCTGCCCTGCTGCTCAAGGGTGTCGGTGCTATGAACCCGGCAAGGCAAGCTGATGCCCAGACACAGAGTGAAGAGAAGCTGCGTCCTCCCACTAGAGAAGGGGGTTTGCAGCGTTAAGGGGGAGTCCTGGGGCAGAATCCCCTCTCTGGCACGTGGGCCCTTAACCCCAACTGTAAAGTGAAAGCAATCTTGGAACCCACTCACTGGAAGAAGGCAGTGAGATGGGTGACTTGGTCCCCGGCAGGGGGATGGTACTGTGGGTGTTGGGTGGCCGCTGGGCACCTGCCTGGGGAACCCCTGAAATCAAGATACGTCACAGGATGATGGACAGGCCTAGCATGCTACCTAGAGTTCTGCTTCTGTGAGCTAAAATCAGCAGGGTATCCAGCCTTCTCCACCCCAAGAAGGGACACCATGAAATTGGGGTGGCTTGGAATCTTAGGGAGCTTTAGAGAGCAGCTACTGGTTACCTAGGAAAGTCTTGGCCTTCACACAGCTGGGTCTGGAACCGTGGAGAGTGGTTGAATATACAAGGCCATACTAAGGATTGGCGCCCTAGGCCCCTGGGTGGGGGTGGAGGGGATCTGTAAAAAGAGGAACCAGACTAAAGGAGAGAGCAGGAGGCTGGGGCCCCTGTGTCACGTGGCTCCAGCCAGCAGGAAAGGGGCCCCTTTTACCCACCCACGGGCGCGGACGCCGCAGGACATGGGGTTCAAAGCCAGACTACAGAGGTCCCTAGAGGCAGAAGCTCCCTTGCCTCGGTTTCCCCATTGCATGCCATGAGAATCCCGGGGGCCGGGGGAGCAGCATGCTGAGGTCCTGAGGGGGTGACAGGCGAGTGTGGCTCAAGGTCCTGAGGGGTGACAGGCGGAGTGTGGCTCGCGCCAGCTGGGGCGGGGCAAGAGGCCCCGAGCTCCAGGATCCCCGCCCCGCAGGTTTCCTCTGGGCTCCTTATCAGGCGCAGCCAGGCCCTTATCTGCGCCAGCCCTGCATCCTCTGGCCGCTTAGTCGGGGTGAGAGAGAGGAAGCCCAGCCATCGAGGGTGGGGGAAAGGGAGGGCAAGTCCAAGAACCGCTCACTTTCTCTCGGGGGATCCACGCCGCCTCTGAAGCAGGGAGGAGGCCCAGTCCAGCTCCAGGGCCCAACGGGACCACCTAGGACACATTGGCTCAACTGGACAGTGGGAACTGCAGCCTGGCCTAGACTGACAGCCCTGACCACAGTTGGGCACTCCAGGCTGCAGGAACTGCTACTACGGGGTAAGAGACAGCTTTGAAAGTAGGTAGAGGAGGGTGTCCTTACATGCATGCCATGTTCTTTCATTCATTCATTTACAATGGGACCCACTAAAGGAGGGGCCAAGCCGGCTTCTCCACCTGGGGAAGATAGGGCAAAGGGGCCCCGAGTCACACACTGCTAGGACCCTCCAGACCCTGGAGCCCAGCAAACAGACGTTTAATAAGCAGGATGCAAACGTGTGGGTGCTGATGGGGTTGGGGCTTGACAGGACGGGACTGGGCAGTGGAATCAGTGTTGGAGGAGCCTGGGGCCAGACTTGGGGTCACAGTGTCAGTAATAGGGTCACAGGGTTAGTTAGTTCCGGGAACTTTCAACAGAAGTAGGAGCCCCTGGAGCAACCAGAGGAGGTGTAGGGTGATTCTTTGAGTCAGGAGTTCCCTGTTTGCCCCAGCTCCTCTGAAAGGAAAACTGGCTCAGAGGCTGGGGAAGGAGCTCCTGGAAAACGGCTCAGAGAAGGCATTGCCAGAATCCATGGTACCTGGCACCTAGTAAACACCTCATTTTATGGAGGAGCCCCTGCCCCTTGTCCTGGCAAGTTTCTGGTTCTGCTCCCATCTGTTCTTAACTATTGAACCTCCACCCCCTTTTTCCTCCTCCCTGTTTGGTTAAGCAGGTATGGGGGGGGGTTGTCTCTGGCCTTCTCAGTAACTGCTCCTGCCTCCCACAGGTGAGCACCCCTTCCTCAGGGGTCCATGTGCCCCCCCCAGGCCCAGGCAGAGGTGGGCCCCGCCATGACTGAAAAAGCTGAAATGCTGTGTGCCTCCAATCCAGCACCTGACTGGCCCCCTAACCCTGCCTCACCTGGGCCCCTTCCTGCAGAGGAGGGCCACCGAGGTGCTTCCACCCCCTGGTTGCCTCCAGGTGTGCCAGTGATCAGCCTGGGTCACACCAGGCCCCCAGCCATGCCCAACACGGAGCTGAGTGTCCTTAGGCCCCCCTTGCTGCAGCTCTCGGCCTTGGGAACAGCCCCACCCACCCTGGCCCTGCATTATCACCCTCACCCCTTCCTCAACAGGTCAGTGGGGATCTGGGGCTGCGGGTGGTGCTGGGCATTGGGGGTCAGGGTCTTTGCCCACAAGGCCTTCGTGACCCACAACCCCTACAGTGTCTACATTGGGCCAGCAGGACCTTTTAGCATCCTCCCTAGCAGCCGGCTGAAGCGAAGACCAAGCCCTAGTGAGCTGGACCTGGCTGAGGGTGAGTGACATGTGGGGGGTGGGGGGTGTGCACCCATGCACTTGTAGGTACCTGAAGCCTGTCTGATCTGACCCATACTCTGCCACAGGGAAAAGGATGTTTTACTGGGTGCGCACATACCAACACAGGAAACCCATGTAGGTGATAGTCAATGCAAGACCATGGTTCTGAACCTGGTGTGGTGGCTTACTTCTGTAATCCAGAGTGAGGCAGGAGAATCAGAAAAAAATTTTTTTTTGGTCTTTTTGAGACAGGGTCTCCCTGTAGCCCCAGCTGTCCTAGAACTCACTATGTAGACCAGGCTGGCCTTGAACTCACAGACATCTGCCTGCCTCTGCCTCCCGAGTGCTGGGATTAAAGGCGTGCACCACCACACCCGGCTGAGAATCAGAAATTTTAAGGCCAGCCTGGGTTGCACAGAGTCCCATAGCCAGCCAGCCAACAATCCAAGCATTACAACCACAGTCATGGCCACAAAATGACAGCCCTCCCACTGTGAAGCACAGCTACAAAAGAGCCAGCCACAGGACTAGAGACACACAGAGCCATGCAACCACAGGGGTCAACCTCAGAACCCCAGCCATGAATGCAGCAGCTCCAGCCACATGGCATGGTCTCATACAACCACAGCCATCAGATAGGCCACCAGTCACCCAGCCACACAAGACACCCTCAGGCTCACCATGGTAGAAGAGGCTCTGAGAACCAGGAGAACCTGTGTCATGTAGGGGCATGCTCAGAATGAGGGGCAGAGAGACAACGACCCATAGTAATAGCCACTTCTCTGGGGAACCAGCCAGGGGCTCTGAAGCCCATTATGGTCCTGGCCAAGGGAGCCCTTGGGCAAAGGGCTCTACATCCTGCAGATCTCCCCTGGGGAAGAAAGCCCCAGCCCACAGACTGGGTTTAGTTCCCTTGAAGGTACTGGAGTCTGCCATGAGGATAGGTGGGGGTACCCTCTGGTCTTCACATCACCCGCTGCCTCTTCAATCTACAGGGCACCAACCCCATAAAGTGGCTCGGCGCGTGTTCACCAACAGCCGTGAGCGCTGGCGGCAGCAGAACGTCAATGGCGCCTTCGCGGAGCTCAGGAAGTTGCTGCCGACTCACCCGCCGGACCGGAAGTTAAGCAAGAACGAGGTGCTACGCCTCGCTATGAAGTACATAGGTTTCCTGGTACGGCTGCTGCGCGACCAAGCGGCCGCGCTGGCGTCGGGCCCGGCCACGCCAGGGCCACGAAAAGGGCATGTGCACCGAGGCCTGGACGACAGCACCAGCCGTGGGTCCGGCCGCAGGATGGAGGCCGCGGCCTGCACGCAGGCTACGCTCCCCGGGGACTGTGCAGGCCACCCTGGGTCGGTGACCCGGCCCATCAAGATCGAGCAAGCAGCCGAAGTGCGGTGACCATGCAGCATCTACCAACTTGCTGCGCAGCGTAGCAAACTCCCTCCAAAAGGGACTGAGGTGGCCCAGATGAAGAAAAGGGTGGCCTTCACCCCGGGGCTTTCTTCACTTACTCACTGGCCATTTGCAGTGGTCTTGTCAGTGTCCTTTTCCCAAGACCAAGGCCAGAGAACCAACAAGGCAAAGCGGTCATCGGACCCCAGTGGTGCCTCTTTATTCCGGGTTGGGGTTGCTGGGAGAGGTGGTGGTGGTGGTGGTGGTGGTGGTGGTGTGTCTGGAAGCCTTCCTACTTCTCACCGGTGCCTCCTGCCAGAGGCCGGAGGCCCGACACCCCTCAAGTGTGGAGTACCCACGCTGTCCAGCCCTACCCGCTGTCGGCACGATTGATCCGATTGACCGCGTTAAGGAAAGCCCAGGCGCTCTTGCTTTTGTTTTTCTTTATTTCTTTATTTCACATACACATTAGCCATTCAATGGAGAAGCCAGAGAGAGTCAGGCAAAGATGGTATAACAGAAGCGCAGTGACGGAGGGGGGCAGGGTGGGGTGGAGAGGGGACAGACGGGCTGGCTGCCTACTTGCATTCCTCTAGGACACTGAAAACCCAGAAAACAAAACAGACAGTGAACTACCCTTGTTTCTTATGTATCTCAGTGCAGAGACGGGGTGGAGGGCAGAGAAGGGGAGACCAGGCTGAAAGAGGAGCAGAGGGAGGGGTCGCTAAGGGGAAGCACACCAAATCCATTAGTACTATATATAGAGATACTCGTATATACTGCGTTTCTTAGCCTAAGAAGAAACTTGTTTGACGGGACGGGCGGCCTTGATGGTCCGCGATGCTGGTGCTGGTCGGGCGCACGGATCTCCCAGAAGGGCCAAAGCGGGGCTGGCCCAGGCTGGCTTGCGGGGGTGGGGGCGCCCCGAGAGTGGATGGGGGGGCAGAGGTGGGGCTGGGGTGTCCCTAGGGCTCTCGATTGGGGGACAAAAGTTCTTGTGGCTTTATTGCTCCTTTATTTTTCTCTCGTGTGTGTGTGGGGGGGTCCGTTTTGCACGGTCAGGGTGGGGAAATGGTGGGTCGTCTGAGCCACCCGGCCCCTCTGGGACCCAGAGCGCGGCGTCCGCTCCGCCAGCACGGGGGTGAGAACAAGGCACTAGGTCGGCCGGCCAGCGCGGGGGCGGGTGTGTAAGGCAGTCGACAGGGCTGGTTGAGGCGTAGGGTGGGGCTGTGTGGGGGCAGTGTGTGTGCGTGCGTGCGCGGGCCTGGGCAAATTGACCTATCAGAGTGGCTGGTCCTGTCCTGGGGCATCAAGCCTTTCGGGTGCTCCCGAGGGAGGGGGGGGGCAGGGATGGAATAATGTTGCGTGGTGGGGAAGGGAGTCGGGGAGGAAATTACCAACTTGCTGAGCGCGCTCCTGATTAATGCTGGTGAGGGTCAAGTTGGCGTCTGGCTCAAAGAAGGGCGCTCGGGATGGAGAGGAAGGGAGAGAAAGGGACAGGGACGTTTGTTCATTGGCATTGACCTCTGCGGGGGAGGGGGAGGGGGATCCCCGCCTCGCCCCGGTGCCTGGAGAGGGATGGGGCGAGGGAGGGGCGATGGGCCCCAGGGAAGGGGCGCCCGGGAAGACCCGCAGCCAGAGCAGCCCAGTCGCCGGGCCTTCAAGCCGCTGTCCCGTTCCGTTAAACTCAACGAAGAAGGGATATGCGTGTTCCTAACAAGTGCAGGATATTTAATTGATTCATAAACATATGTATAATAGTTTGTGGGTTTTTAAACGTACTTAATAATGTAAGAAGCACCAGGGTTTTGTGTTTAATTATCTTAAAAATAATTTTCTCTCGTCCTTTTCCTTTTGATCCTTTTTTTTTTCGTCAAGGTGTTTTTCAAAAGACAAAATGTGAATGTTTCTTTCAGCCCTCCCACCAAAACTGAGAATGAACGACGAAACAAATTAAAACACCAAATCATCCTCGTCAACGCAGGAAAATAGCTTAAAAAATAAACTGAAAACGAAGAAAAATGGAAAAAAAAAAGGGAAAAAAGGAAGAACACTCAGCTTTCGTTATCCCCGTGCAGGGCGGGGCAGGCCCAGTTCTTTTAGCGTCCCCAGAGCCGCGAGGACATTACAACAAAAATAGAATTTTTTAAAAACAATCTCTTAACATACAAAGATAGGAAAACTCTGATGCATTGCACTTGGTTCAATGAAAAAAAAAGTTAATTTCCCCCATATATTTTTTGTGGGTTTTTTTCCCTCTCCTAACACGCCCCCATATCTGTTGCCCTCATTGCCCCTCACATCATCACTTGGGAAAGGAGCGCTGCCCCCCCCCAGCCCTCCTGGGGGACAGTGATGGGCACCTCCGGCCCCGGCCCAGCTGGCCTGCAGCTTCCGACCTCGCCCCGGCGCGTGCCTTGCAGACCCCCCCCCAACTCCCACAGGCCCGCAGCGCTAGCGGCCCGATTGTCTTCGAAGGAATGGGCTCACGCGGCCGGGCAGGGGCCCCCTTCGGCTCGCTCTTAGCTCTGACCCTGTTTAGCCAACCGAACTGTAAAAGCATTGCACTTTGACCGCGTCAGGCGCGGCCCGCCCGGCCCCCCACCCCCGGGCCTCCCTCGGCTCGCGCAGAGAGGCTCCCGCGGGACCCCTGCCCCTCAGTCCTGGGACCCTCAGCGTCGTACGAAGAGGAAGGCGGGGAGGGCTTCGCTCCTCTGCCACCCGGGTCGCGCACCCGCGCCAGCCGCTTCGAAGCCTCCCGCCACTCCGAGCCCGGGCAGCAGCCCCGCGCTCCGCAGACCACTCCTCCCTCTTCGCACCGGGCACAGCCTCACCAACCAGATTCTCAATAAATAAAGCCCATGACCCACCCCTACGTGGTGCAATGTTGGACTGACTTTCAGAGGATCCTGACCTGTGCTTTATGTTTTCATTCCGTTGAGAAAGAGAGAGAAAGAGAGGCACAAGGACTTAATGGGCCTGGGAGGGAAACGCAGGGAAGGGGAGTAAGGCACAGAAAGACAAGCCAAAGGGGCCAAGTCACACCGCGGACCGGGCTGGCGTGCTCGTACTCTCTCCTCCCTCCCACGGGACTTTGAAAGACCCGTGAGGAAAAGCCCCCAACATCCCTTGGGGGACGAGGCGGCGGCTGGGAGGAAAGCTACTTCCTGTGGTATGTTACCAAATTGTTCCCAAGTTGCTCAAACCGAGGAGTTCCCAACTGCAACAGTGAAAGACCCAAACAATGACTGCCCCACCCCTAAATAAAGAGTAAAGACATTACAGCTAAAGTCTAGGGAGAAGTGGCCATGGGTGCAGTGGGAAGGGAAGAAGAGAAGGGGACCAGAAAGCTCCAGAACACTCGTGAAAAGGACAACCACCACCCTCCACAGGAACTGAAAGCCGCTGAGCAGGACACCTACCTAGCGCAGGTGGTGGCTTAGCCCCAGAGGCCGCTGCCTCCTCCTCCCTTGGTTCCAGGACCCTTTCCGCTCCACTCGCAGCCGGCCCCAGTAGGGTGTGCTTGAGCGGCAGGGGCAGGGCCGATGGGGCGGAGCGAGGGCACCTGCATGCAGGGCTGGGGTGTGGGGCGACCTGGGGTCAACTCCCTTCACCTGGGGTGTGGCAGAGGGCAGCCCTCCGGGTCTGCGGAGAGTTGGTAGAGGGTACCAGTCCGGGCTGAGCCTCTGGTCTAGAGCTGACTTTTTTCCTGTGGACTGTACAGAGGGGCCTCACCCGAGAATTCCCATGCGGTTCAGAGTGGGGTGGCAGAACGTCCTACATTCTGGACTCACACTGAATGCAACTAACTCCAGGGGGCGCCCCCTGCCCACCCGGGGGCCTTCTTCGCCTGGTCCAGAGCAGTTGGGGACAGAAGCTGGAGCAGAGTCTGGAAAGATGAAAGGGAGAGGAGGGATGAAATCCGGAGGTAAACTCGCACATCTACTCCCATCATCTTTACGAGCTGCTCCTCTGGGCTCCTTAGGGAAACTCAGGCCTAGCGGAGGGTGGGGTCCCAGGAAGGTCAGGGGCGGGTGCTGGCTGCTTCTTCCTGGGAAGGCCAGGCTGGGTGGGAGGAAGGCAGTCTTGCCGCATCCTTTCTGTTTGTCCTCTGCTTGGCAGAGTCCGCTTTGCAAGTAGCATGCTTCTTTCTGCTTGGCTGCTAGTACACAGCTCTGCTGAGACCCCTTCCGAGGGCTCGCCAGAACTGGGCTGCTTTGGACCACAGGGTCCCCGGGCTGGAGAAGGGAAGGGCTGAGTGGCTGACGACGTCTAATTTTTGCTTTTCGGTGGGGCTGGGCTGGGGGATATTTCCATGTCTCGAAATTTCTTTCCCCCCCTTTTGAGGAACCTCTTCTTTTTATGTTGTTTTCTTTCCTCATCAGAGGAACCAGGACTGAAAGAGGACCAAAAAAAAAAAAAAAAAAATACAATGAGAACAGCTGGGCAGGTCTTGGCTCTTGGCTCCCATCTCACTCCCACTTGGTTCTATGATGACCCCCCAACCTCTAGAGTTCAGCTCAGAAGGAGGGGCTAAGATGCTGGGCAGTAAACCTCACAGCAAACCCCACACGGAGGAGGAAGCCCAGCTCATTCTCCCTCACCCTCGGAGGGAATTCCCCCCACCAAGATCCCCAGTGCAACCGTCCAGCTGGCCTTCCAGTGGGCACTGTGCCCAGCGGGTGGGACCCCCATGGCTGGCGCTGGCACAAACTTGAAATCTGGCCATGTTTGCAATTGTTTAGGTTTTTGTATGGGACCTGGAAGGTGGGGAAGATGCCAGGCTGGGGCTTTTGTACTCAGAGGGGTTGGAGGAATAGGGTGGGGGTGGCCCAGCTTCTTGCTGAATTTTTTCTGTCTCTTTGGATTAAAAGCAGAAATTCCTGTCTGTACACTGAAACTGAGGTCCCTCCGACTGAAAGGCTGGGGGCAGGGAACCACAAGAGTTCAGGGCCAGGCTTGGGGGAGGGGCTAGAGCCCACCCTGCATGATCACCAAGAGCTGGGGAAGGACCCTGAAGCTCCCTGGAGAGGACAATGCTTCAAACCAGCAGGGGGCACCACCTGCTTTGTGTATGGGGCCTTGCTGGCATGGAAGACCCAACACACACAGGGTGGACACCAGGGGCTGGATGCTTGGCAACACCCTCCATCAAAGGATCCAGTTCCATTTTGTGCCCAAGGGCACAAACCTATGCTTCTCCAGACCTGTGCTTTGCTTGCGTATACCTGGACGTACCTTCACCACAAATTGAGGGTTCCCTGATAATACAACTAGGGCCTCCAGGAGTTCTGTGTGAGACTTAGGTCTTCAGGGCCAGGCAAAACTAACAACAAAGTATACACACCAGATACTGACTCATTCCATCCTTTCCCCAACCTCACACTGAAGGTAGACCCACACAAGTGGATGCCCTCAATTGCAGAGAGTAGTTAAGAGTCTGTTCCTATTTACTGCCTGTGCAGCAATCATTGAGGCTGCAGGGCAGGCCAGAATGCCTATGCCCTACCAAGTTGGGGTGAAGGCACCAGGTAGCTAGAGCTGCAACTTTTCAAATGAAGCCAGAAATCCAGACAGAATTTCATGTGAAAATTTCCAATTGGAGGGAATTGGAGGCTGGGTATAGGGGTATACAGCACTTGGGAGGCAGAGACAGGTGGGTCTCTATGAAGTCAGTCAGCCTGGTCTTCCTAGCAAATTCTAGACTACATAATGAGACCCTGTATCAAAACACATACACACACACACCAAAAAAAAACCAACAACAAAACAAAACAAGCAAACAAACAAACAAACAAAAAAAAAAACCCACCCCAAACACCAGTAGGTAAGAGGTCCTGACCCTAGCCGAGGAACTATTGACAACTGAGAGCTGCTGGATAATGGAGAGTTTTCTTTAAGGCTGTGATGCTGGGTATGTTAACCAGGCTCCAGTGGATGGATCTACACTGAAGGCATTTGCAGACACCAATTAGATGAGAGAGAGAGAGAGAGAGAGAGAGAGAGAGAGAGAGAGAGAGAGAGAACATGAAATTGGGCAAGGGTAGTGAGGAAAGGTACAGATGGGGAGGGGTCTGAATATGACTGAAAGATATTAAATGAAATACAAAAAATCAATAAAAATAACCCAAGTGCTAGTGGTAGGGAAAAAATATAAAAACACTTGGAAACTAGACATGGTGGCTCATGATTATAATTCCAGTACTTAGCAGACTGAGGCCGGAGGATTGTTGAGGATTTGAGGCTAACTGGGTCTTTACAATGAATGAATTCCTGGTCACGTTTGGTGACAGAATTAGATCCTGGTTTGAAAGTCAGAAAAACAAAAAATAGTATTGGAGTCAGGTATGCTGATACACACCTAATAATTCCAACAGTCAGGAGGCTGAGGCAAGAGGATCAAGTTTGAGGCTAGCTTGCCTCCTGCCTCATAGTGAGACCCTGTCTCAAACACAAAACAAAAATCAAGACAAAAGAAAACCCATCATTGTTGAGCTGTGGCTGTGGCCTCATGCTAACAGCTTTTGCCTAGCATGTCTGAGACCCTGCACCAATTATGACACCCTCCCAAACAAACCACTACTATTTCAATATTAATCAGTTTATGCCTTCAGGTCAGACCCTGTCCCTCAGGCTCTGATTTGGGTTGGCAGAAGTTACCCTTGTGAAAAGTCAGGCAGTAGCTTTCTCTTGTAGTCCCAGCTACTTAGGAGGCAGAAGCAGGAAGGTTACTGAGCCAAAGAGTTAGAGACCACCGTTGGCAACATTAGAGACACTCATCTTTAAAAAAAGGAGGGGTCTCCAGTATGTTGGTGCACGCCTTTAGTCCCAGCACTTGGGAGGCAGAAGAATCTGTGAGTTCAAGGTCAGCCTGGTCTACATATTGAGTTCCAGGACAGGTGGAGCTACAGGGAGACCCTGTCTCAAAAAAAGATTTAAAAAAAAAAAAAAAGGAAGAAAAGGAGGGTTTGGGGGAGAGTGGTAAGATAGCTTAACAGATAAAATCACTTGCCATGTAAACCATATAACCTGAGTTTGATCCCTGAAACCACATAAAGATGGGAGAACCAAATCCACAAAGTTGTCTTCTGACCTCCACATTGCACTGTGGCACATCATACGTACACACACCCCTCATCATATACACATACACACAAAAATGAAAAAAAAAATCAAGATCCTCTAGAACTGCCTATGGCAGTGGAGTCCTCTCTGTTGTCCAGTGCAGTGAAGTAGCAGATAGCACAGTGGTTTCTGAGCACTTGCAGTACAGCTTCTGTGCTAAAGGGAGGAGATTGAACCCAGGCCTTCCGGCATGTGAGGTGAATATTTTACCACTGGGCTACCACCTCTCTAGCCTAAAATCTAGGTGTGGCTCTGGGAAGCTGAGATGGAAACCCAGGATTGAACTTTCTCACAGATCAAGAAGGCCAGTGAGCTGCCAGCTCCAGGCTTCCAGCTCTGGCTTTCTCTGGTTCTCAAGGGATGACTACCATAAGTTCCTGTACTACTGCCCCACGCAGGCCACCCCTCCTCTGCCTCCCTACCAGGGACAGAGGGTTGTAGACATCTGGAACAGGGAGGACCCCATGTGAAGGCCCAAGCAGGTCCCTTGAGGTCTCCTTAGTTTCACAGCTTTACAGTCTCAGAGTAGGGGGCTCCTCAGAGAAGGAAGACCCTAGTTCCAGGCTGAGAACTGGGAACAAAAGCAGCTCCAAGGGGGCTCTGGGGCACCTCTGCACAGGTCCCAGGAACAGGGGATCTGCTGCCAAGCACAGAGCTTTCTCTGTTTACCCTGCCCTGCTTCCTGAGCCAGGTCCAAAATTGATTGAAACTAAGTAAAAAGCACTGCCCAGGCAAAGACAAAATTGCTGAAATTCTCTTTTCTTCCCTGATTCTATTGTTCTGTCTCCATCTGGTGCTCCAGGGATCAGCTAAAGTCACTGGTTACTGTGGAAACACCCCCCCCCCACTGTCCCTCCACAGCAGCCTGCCTGCCCCCAGGCCCAAGGGCTCCTGCTTCAGGGTGCCCAGATCCCACTCCCCCATCATCCCCAGACACACCTGCCTGTTCAGGGGCCCTGGATCCAGCTAGGACTCCTTTCCTTACCCAGGACACAAGACAAGGGAATGAGGGAGGAAGAGAAACTGTTTCCTGAGCTTGCCTCAAACTCTGACTTGGCCTCAAAACAAGTAAAGTGAGCAGAGAAAGTTAAAGAGGCAAAAGTGGAGAGGGAGGGGAGGGGTCTCACAGCAGTGGAACAAGCATACTGCAGAGTCACAGCAAGAGCCAGAGTGGCAGGGGCTGGGTGGCAGGAGGGAGACAGAGAAGGAGAGAGGAAGGGAGCAATGAAGCACAGCTCCTGGTACCAGTCCAGAGCTGGGAGGGGAAGCCGGCCTGCTGTCCCTTCCTCTGGCACCCCCTCACGCCTTCTGCCAGCAGGGCTCTCTCGGCCTCCCTGGCACAGAGCAGAGGGGGCTGGCTCCAGACCCTGCTCAAAGCCATTGTTTTTCTTCTCAACACCCCCAAGTTCAAGTTCATCTGGGTGTTACATCATGTCTGGTTGCTCCTGGAAACCAGACGGGTCAGACGTGACTCGGGAAAGGGGGTGGGAAGCTGGAGGGGTTGAAGTTCCCCTGCTCCTCCCTCCTTGCCACTAGGGAGCTCTGGTTTGAAGTTTGACTTTTTTT